TAGTGTGTGATTAAGTTCCTGAGGTGAACTGTACTACTGAACTTACATTGTAAGTTATATTCACTTTTGTCTATTAATTGTATTCCTTGTCTCACTGCTTATGTACAATCCCCATTTATCTAAATCCAATCCTTTTCTCCTGTTCCAAATTATTATTACAGAGTTAATAATAAATCTGTGTTTGAGTGGAATAGTAATATTCACTGTCCCAGTTATTTCTTTTTCCTGTTTTATTACTTTAAATAAAGTACTGAATGAGTAGTGTATGGTGCAGTCACCAGTGACCTCACATTACCTCTGCTTCTCTCACTACCTTCACTCCTCATACTTGCTTCCATTCCTTATTCCCTCTTATCATTATTATTACTTGAATTCCACCCCCTCTATATGACTGTATGTGTGTGTGCATGCATGTGTGTGTATTATACACACAAACATGTATATATATTTTTTAACACACTAGCCATCTCCCACTGTCACTCACTCACACACACACATACATACATACATAATGCACATGTAAATAATAACTGTATCAGAACAGGCTGTTAGTTCATACACTTTTTTTTTTTTTTTCAACAAACCGGCTGTGGCCCAAAAAGAAAAATGAAAGTTTCTCTTTTTAAATTTAGTAATTTATAAAAGAGAAGGGGTTACTAGCCCCTTGTCCCCAGTTCATACACTTACGATTAAAAAATGCAAAATGAGCTGGTCTGCACAAATACTAACGAGAAGGGACTGGATGAGTTAGTCCACATGCCTTGATAAGTAGTTGCAAATGTAGTGTATACTGCTAGACTGAGCACTCTTGAGTATGAGTAAAGTTTCTAGAGATTGTTACTATGCTTACTGTGCTACTGGACGTACTGGTGATAACATTTTATAATCAATGTCCCATCACTAATATATTCAGCAAAGTACTACAGTATTAAGATTATCCAAGAAACCATTAGGTTCACAACACAGATCAATACCAAGTTTTGAGTACAAATTTTGAATTTCAAGCAATTAACATCAATACTGAAGATCTAAAGCTGAATAAACATGCAGCTGAGTTACAGTGGTGTTCCACATATGCCAAAACTGGATAACACTGAAATTGCTTGCTTTTTTTTTTGTTGTTTTTGATTTTTGGTTGTTTTTTCTTGGAATCTGTTAAGCTTTTGACCACAATATCACACATGATCCTATTTTCTCTGCCAATAAGAAATAAGCCTCACAAAGAGGAATTATTATATAATGCATAGCACAACAATATGGTTTTTTTTTTTGTAAACATTATCCATTATGTCCTCATGCACAACACAAATGAGAAAAACTCCCTGGCAAATTCTAAGACACCATGGGTCAAAGGACTAATGTTGCAGACACAGCCTCATCACATGAAGGCAAACACAGAAAATGGACAGCTAACAACATAAACTCCTGTGGAGCCCTAGACAAACAAAGCCTTGGACAGAACAACAAGGGAAGGTTAACCACTGTCCTGTGAACAATCAGATATGCACACTGCACATATGCACAGTTAGCTTTGGGAAGTTAACTCATTAAGACTGGTATAAAAGTGAACGTTGGGAGTCTATTCTTGTTATTGAAAGCAATACTTAGCTTCCTCACACACTTGCAGTTAGCTCAAATCCTCCACCTCAAGCTCCAAGTGCAACACATTAAAGACCATACATAGAAAACCTTGCTTGGATGCCATTTTGTTGGCAATGACTAATCCAACACCTCTGATACTGCTGGTGAAAACATGGCATATTCCACACACCTCCAAAAGATAAGCACAAATTTTATTTTTGATCAAAATTCCTGTTGACTGGTTCATTTCCTTTTAAACAGACAGAAAAGCCTATCTTCCTGGGTCCTTGGGAGACAGGGATTTTTATTAAAAAAAGGAGCTGTTCTAAGGACTTCTTGTAAAGTGATATCATCAGCTTCAGTTTCACTGGCTCATCTTCTCAGTAATCTTGTTTAGTTCTCCTCTTCCCATTGTTTCAACCTGCTTCACTCAGAACTGGTTGCCTCTTTAAGAAATTCGCTGGCATCTCCTCGGCAAATTGGGCAAGTCCGATTAGACTGAAAAACACAATTATGGTTTAAAGTTGACAGGCTTAGAACCTGAGTCTAAAAGATATTTTGCAACAGATATCTAGTATATAACTAACTAAACGTTAAGATAATGGGAAAGCAAACTACTTGTATAAATAATTTTATTTCATGAATTTTAATTTTGAATTAAACATTAACATATGTTAAGTCATCTATCTATATCTACACATAAAAGTGATGATATCTATAATGATTTTAATTAATATGATATGTACATATAACTATCTTCATTCATAGCCTGGAACTATTGACAGATGAATTTACTAGACAATAAAATTAAGATTCTCAGTTAGAAGTGTCTAATGCAAAATAGTATCTGTCAAACACAAACAAGACCTACTATTAAACTTCCTCTAAATTGAAACTTTAAAAGGCCTCAAGGAGCAGACATTTTTAATTACTGTCAAAAACTGGCTGTAACTTTAAAAAACTTTTTAACAAATTACCCATGAAAAACTTGAGTACAACAGTTTACTGTGATTTCTGTGTGATTTTTTAATAAGGAGAAAAACACATATAACTAAGCAGTTGCTTCACTGACTAACTTAAAACAGATAACCACATCAGCCAAAATTCAGTTTGAAGGTCTTGGACTCAAGTTCAATTACTCAGTTATGAAGGAAGATGCTGCTTTGAGTGTGATCATGTGACAACCTATGTTCCCTCTACAGTAAGCTGTGTGCTCTTGCTGCACAGTATCTCAGCAGCCAATTAAAAAGTATAATTATTCAGACTGCATACATTCTCAGTGATGACAACTTTAGTGGAGTTGGAGATGCTTTTATTTTGGACAGATTAAGTAGGGCTGTACATTCATACTAGTTCTTACATACCATTGGGCTATGGTAATTTCACTCTTCAAGAGAGGTGCCTTGATGTTGGTGAAGAGCTCTTGATCTGAGGAAGTGGAGCTGCCTCTCCTCTTCCTCAGATCAAACTTGATTACTTTACATTCTTTAAGCTCTGTATGACACCTATGGATTTAGTGCTTCAAAGAACAGCAAATCCTTGATATAACAGATTTTAAAAGTAATAGGCAAAATGCTCTGGGTAAACTGTACTTTTAATTTTCAATGTTTATCACAGTATAACTATAAATTAAGCTGTATAGCCCTTGTGGCTTAGCGCTTCTTTTTTATTATACTAGTAATAATTATAAATTAAGTGTACAGTACTATATTAGATATACAGTACTTAATTTTTTTATTATTATTTTTAACTATTCTGAGTCAATGAACACTCGGACAATCTTCCCTATTAGTTCAGTATATTAAGGGTTTACTGTAGTAATAATAATAATATGGTAATTTTAAGTACTGCTTTAATTTTTAAAACATTGTTCCTTCCAGCAACACATCTGCATATTGTTACATTACTTGTGCACATGATAAAATTCATTCTGCATAGAGAAAGAAAGACCAGAGGGAACATTGGTTATAACACACATCACAGCCCCAGCAGCATGCTGTCAAGCAAGTGCTGAGTACATGGATTTCAGAATTTAGACCTAGTAACTAAAGAATGTTGACATCTGTAGACGACTGCATTTTACAAAATAATGGATTTGAATAAAACTTCTACAGCTTCAGGTAAATATCAATCATCTCTGAGCATCACAAGCAGTTTAGGCTGAGACGACTGGGATGCTGCGGTAAAATGCCGGCAGCACAGCAAGAACAGCACTTTCTCCTCATTCTTAATTACATTACATGCAACAGATTAATAAAATTAGTAGAACAAATCATTGCAAGCTGACCAGGCTGCCACAAACTTGATTTACAGAGAGGAAAGGTCACAAGCACACAGTTTAAGGCTGAGTCCTTATAGAGGTATTAATGAATAACATTTCCACACCTGCCTGCAGTGGCTGCTTTTGATTAGTTATTATTCAAAATTGGCACACTTAACTGGATCATACTGACACCCTGATCCCAAAAAAAGGGGCAAATATGAAACATACTTTAATCAAAAGCAGTACCCAAAGGTTATTAGTGAAAATATGTTATTGCACCCTTATGTTAGGGCAAACTTTGTCAAACTAAACTGAGCATTCTTCTACAGTCCCCCATGTATAGACTGTACAATTATCAAACAGGAACTTTGCAATAACGCTAATTTAAGTAGCACTAATCCCCATTAACTTTAAATAGCGTTAAGTAAGGCAAAAAACTTTAGGTTTTAAAATAAATTTCTATAGAGTTACTAGAAAATCTGCAACAAAATTAGGAGAAAATGCTCCTCCTGGGAATTCTGCGTGCTGCTGTGGTGGCTATGCCTATGTTTTATGCTTGAGGAGTATTTTACAGCCAGTTGGTGACAGTCTTGCCTGATGTTGGCCGGATGTCACATATTTCCAGAGCTTTGCAGACATTTGGCAACACTAAATACAACACTGAGAAACCCCCATAATAAAATTAAAAAATTTACATTGCACAGCACAGTGGAAGCAATAAACTGAAGATGGTGCAATCATATCTCAATAAAATATATAAGTTTGCTGCTAAAGACTGAATTGCACAGCAGAAGTGATAATCAGCTGACTAAAGGCTGCATAGTGACCCACACAGTGATCAACACTTAAAATGACCCAAAACGCAAAGCCTGGAAACACCTGACGACCGAACCAGTGTGCAGTGTGACCAAGAGGGACATACCTGCAGGCACCAAAAAGGCCATCATCATGATACTGCAAGCATGCAAGCAGCCAGCAGTGGTATACGGCACAAGGCACGCCACCCTCCTGCTCATGCAAGACACACGCACTGGTTAGCTCGGGGCACAGTCAAGGGTACCAACCGCTCGGCACCGAACACAGTCACGGGTACCAACTGCGCGGCACCAACCACAGTGAAGGGACTCAACTGCATGGTACTGACCACAGTCTAGGTTACCAACAGCATGGTATCAGCCAGTCAGAAGACACAGCCAGGAAATATTATGGAGTATAAGACCAACAGATGGAAAGTCATATGCAGGGATAACTGTTGCCAAGTACAGGATGCAAGAGTTACTAAGATAACAAAAGACAGTTGCTTTCAAAACAGTGATCAAAAAGACTCAGCCTCTGTATAAAGCAGAACAAAATACATACACCATTTTGAAGCAAGATGTCAATGCTACCTTAACCATATGTATCATGTCCACAATAATTACACAACCTGCATATGAACTCACAAATTCTGGGGTTTCAACTTCACAGTATTTCCAGGTATGTACTGACTGTGCAATACCAACAAGCTGCAAACCCAGTGCAGAAGCCAGGTATTACAAAAAGTAGGGAAGAGTAACACTAGAGATGAGTAAAAGGCTCTATACATTGACATACACATAAGGTATGCAAAGCTAGTTATTTGTGGCACTCAATATTTTTTTTTAAATATAATTTAAACAGGTTATCTTAAACTCAAAAAAGACTTCTTTACACATTTAATATCAGTAAGTTATCTTAAAAAGAAATAATATGAAATACTTAAAAATGTAATACAACTTGTTTAATTTTTTTTTTTTTTATAAAGACCATCTCTGAACAAGAAGCAGTTAAGAATATTACTGATCACAGAGAAGAAAAAAATAATGTTCAATAAGTTTTGTTTTTTTTCACTGCCTGTATCTTACTCATCTCTTAAGGGTAATCAGAGCTCTAGAGGTCATACTACGTTGCAATGCTCAGCAAGTATACAGCATTTTGAAATTTGCAATTTATGTCTTTTTTTTTTTTTACATGTATTATGGAAGCACCATACCATATTGAGGCATAGATCAGGAAAAGCTGTGCACTTGGGAACTTGTAATATAGTCTGTGACTGAGCAATTGCAAAATATGTTCATCAGAGAAAATAACCTCTAAAATACAAGGCTTTTGCACTAAGCTTTTGGGAGAAGCTCAGAGCTCTTTGTGATCTCAATGCTGATTATCCTGTGCTCTAAAAAAGCTCAAAAAAGGGAAGGAGCTGCACATTTTTACATGATAGCTGCTCATCACAAAAAGCTCTGGATGTGTTAAAATCCAAAAATACAAACAGGAGGAAAAAGGGGTGTAAAGGCAAGAAACTGGCTACGGACGACTCTAAAGCCCAACAGTTACTTGAAGGCTTGTTGTTGTTGTTGTTGTTGATGTTGCTGTTGCACTTTGTTAATTACAGGCTCCTTTCTACATATGTTATTTAGTAACTATGTTCTGGTTGTGGAGAAAATCCATAGATACTTATTCAAACTTGGAAAAATCTTTAATTAATAAAAATACTCTCCATGAACCAAGCTATCATATTTACTGTTTTAACAAGTAAATGAGCCCTTTAAGTTTAGAATATCTACAAAAAATGCAAAAATATGGTCTACAAATATCTAGGATGTACACATAGCATACACAAAAGTGCATAAATATGTACATAAACCCCCTTCTCCCATCAAGCTTTAGGAACCTCAAAGTGACTGCTGGGTGTGCTGTAGTGACAGTTTTGGTCTATATGATGAAAAAATAAGGGCACCAGATTTATGAATTCCACGAAGAAACTGCCCACAATTAACAAGAATGCATTTATCGCAATTTCTAGAGCTATAAAAATTAATCAAATGCAGGACTGAAAATAATTTTAATACTTGCAATGCATGAATACATTCAAAAATCAGAAAAGATATCATAATATTAGGACATGTGTCTTCAGGTATTCTTCATTACAAATGTCATGTGATCAACAGTTCTCAAAAATATATTGTTTCTAGAGAGTACATATTGTGGGTGTTATGAATATAAACATGAACTTCACAGAAACAAAACAAAACTCTTGAAGCATTGATCATATAACATAACTATGAACCTATTAGATGTATATACACTACATAAAGATGATATATATAGCCTAGCAGTGTTAACTACGCCTCACTCTCGGGAGACGAGACCCAGGCAACAGTCACACGAGGCAATAAAACACGTAACCTGTTCACAAGTCCCCATTAAATCCCGGCATGAGCTGAAATCTGTGACACCATCGGCCAAGCTCGTCCACAAGAATTAAAAAGATTGGGTAAGGAGAATAAAGTTGGCTTTGCTGTAGGGCTCGTGCCAGCCGAGGCAAGTTTGAGGCTGATAACTAATTCTACGTCTCTCAGCTAAGTGGAAGCTGCAAATTATGTGCTTGAAGGCAAATGACAATGGTCTTTTTTTGGAAAACAAATGCTCCTGCTGAGAAACATTGACCTTGATAGCAGATTCAGGTATGCCTCAGCTGAGACGCTACCTAAAATAGAGCCTTCATTATCGATATTAAAAACAGGACTCATTCATATAAAGTAAATTAGGATTCTTCCACATGATTGATCCATTTGAAGAGTATCAGGTGATAAGAAGGATCAGGCTATTATTGATATATAGGCTGGTCCATATAAGGGCTTATATAGACTGGTTTAAGATCAAGAGTGACTGGTCTGAGCTGGTTTGAGAGCATTCGGGTGATGGACTTTGATGAAGAGCAGCTGGAGGGAGAGGAGACAAATGTGATATCTGCCACTGAGATGAAGGAGTCCACTTGACTTAAGAGGACAAAATGGCAATGGTACTGGTATGTCACAGCAGCCTTCATGCACACTTTCGCCTCTAATAAGAAATAAGAGAAGCAATACTGTTAGTGGGTGAGGGCTAGTATACGATACAACGTGGTCAATACACTGGGAAAATTGCACTGTGAAAAACCCATGCTTGCTACCTGATTGTCCCAGAATCATAAATCTATTATCTGGTGTCTAAGCGAGCACACACAATCATCTTGAGAATAATCACCTTAAAGTAATAAAGGAATATGTTAAAATACATGAAAATATTGTACACTGCTCTACACATGATCTATCAAAGCCTGCTGACTGGACATAATATGGTAGTAGGAAAGACATATAGAGTCGTCATAAGGTGAGAGAAAGGAATAAACAGTCAAAAATTAAATATCTACTCTGTAAGACATTAATAGCAAATCCCACTTTCAGTAACTTGTACCCAATGTAAGCTTTAAAAATCATGCAACTGATTTTTGTGGTGCCCATAAAAAATAAAACAGGGATCTTGGTGTTTAGATGACACAAGCGCTACTTGGGAGACAAAGGTTCTGAAACACTGTTACTCTAGTATGTTGATATTTTCACCAACCCAAATCATCTAGCCAAATACAGACCCCGAGACAACCAAGACCCCTAGTGCATGACCAAAACATTGCTGCAAGATAGCAACTTACCTTGAGCCACTTATCAACACACTTGGTATGAAACTCATGCAGACATGGTAAAACACGTAACATCTGCCGGAGTTCGAAATCGCACATGCATATTACACATGTTGTCTGTTTAGTGTCGGACTTCTCCCCAGTATACCTGTAAATCACATCTCAAGTACTATTGGTGCCAAAATGTTCACAAGCTTATTAATAAATCATAGCATCATGTCATTATAAACCTCTAATACGCAATATGGTAATGCCAAAACCTTGTTTCTAATTCCGTAATTTTCAGCAGCATTACTACTTCCTATAAACATTTGTCAGTATGTATGTCTATAGTTCAAATGAAACTTAATTCATCACACAATTCATGGAACTACTTAACCTTTACCTTGATTTGTGCTGAGCCTGTATAATTCAACAAATTTATCTTTCCTACTAATCTATAGTGATTAGAAACTTAATATGTGATGAAAGTAAATCACCATTATCTATCCAAAATCTTCTTACCTATAGGACGGGAGCTGGTCAATCACGGTCTTCATAAGGCCTCTAGGTTTAGCCTCGCCTAGTCTCTCTGCCAGATGTAGTAGGGCCTCATAATTCTCTGTGTCTGGAGCTTCTGCAGGCACTGGGTCAACCACGCTGTATTGGTGTAGCGATGGATGTGACAACATTGCCCTGGAAATGCATGGTATTTCATAAAGAAAAAAATGATCAAATTAGCTACAATCAACTGGAAGGATCTGGGTGTTTCCCTAAAACTATTTAAGTTTCAGATATTTTGTAACATAAATGTATTCTATGTTGTACTTTAAGACTTTAAATACATCTGTCTTAAAAAGATACAAAATAACTCCCCAAGAAATGTAAGAAAAAATGCCAGGGAAATGTAGTGCTGCTGAAAACCATTTACTTGTGGGAGGAGGGGGAGGGGGTGGGGGGCGGGCTGGGGGAAAGGGGGGTTTCCTCGCCAGTTTGGACTACCCGCCCTCGTGCCTCCCAAACTGCTCCCAAACGGGCTCCCCCCTTGGTCCTCGCATACCCCTTTAGAAACCTGCCCTTGGCCGGGGGCCCCGATACAGCCCCCCGCCTGCATATCAACACTGGCACCTCGTGCATGCCCCACTTCCACTGCTTGCCTGGGGGGTTAAAATTTAAATTCGGGAAAAAAATTTTTTGCATATGCACTGTTTTTTATTACCCAAAAAATTACAAAAAAATTTTGTATAAATCTATAGTTAAAATTTTTTAAAAAAGGCTTCATATTTATTTACATGTAAATGATGAAGTTGTTTGAAGGGGGAGTTGGCAAAAAAGGTGAAACCCAAAAGGGGGCGGGGGTTTGGGCGGGTTTGAGTGTGGGGGTGTGCTGGAGGCAGCTGAGGAGAAACCCCCAACTCCCGGCTTTTGGGGGTGCTAGCCCAGCCCCCCGGGGGCCAGCTGTGAGGGGGTTTGGGGCCGGCCTGGGGGGGAGCCCACCCCCCGGGGTTTGCCTGGCCTCCCCGGGAAGTGTGGGTGTGTGGAGGCTGAGGGTTGCGCCATAAACTGGGGGGGCCCCACAGGAGTCAGAAGGGGGCCATGGAATGATGACCAGGGGTACCATGGGGCAAAGTGATGCTGGGGGACCAAGGCACCCCCCATTAAACCTAAAAAAATTTTAACAAGCCCCTATACTTTACGATTTAAAAAGTATTTCAAAATTTTCATTTCCAAGGGGGCACCATTGAACATAAAGAGATTTGGATAAGTAGATGATGTGATAAAAAATGAGCCCAATTTTGGGTTCATGTTGAGAAATGTGACATCCTTCAAAAGGGAAAACTAGCTTATAATCTAACCTAGATAATATTAAATTTTATAAAACCCAAACCCCCCCAAACAGAAAAAAAGGGACTAAAAAGGTCTGGTACCAGAAACAAAAACCCAAAGGGGCAAAATTTTTCCTTTCAAAAAAGCTAATCATTTTAATTTTTTTGATTTCAAATAAAAGTCCCAAGGTTATAAATTTTATTTAACATCACTGGAAAAAGCCCTTTTTTACACTTTTTTGGGAAATTTAGGATTATAATAAAAATAAAAATTTTTACTTTATGTTTTATTTTTTTTTATTTTTTATCACACTGGCCGTTTCCCAAACCAAGGAAGGGGGGCCCCGGAAAAAGAAAAATTTTTTCCCATCATTCACTCCTCCCGGGGGCCCCCCCCCCCCTTTTTTGCCAAAAAAAAGGGGTTTTAACACTACATTTTTTAAAAAACTGAAACCCATTCCCCCCCCCTCCTTGGGTGCGGGGCCTGTATTCCCCCATCTCCAGGACTCAAGCCCCGGCCCCTCCGGTTTCCCCTTGAACCCTTCAATATGTTTACTTGCTCACACCCCAACGCCGTCAAGTTTTAAAAAACCCTTTTGGGTCTCCTTTCCCACTCCTATAAAACACGCTCATGCATGCCTGCGGGAAAGCCAACCCCCCCCGCAAAAACAAAACCCCCTTTTCCCCCCTCCCTCCAACTTTTCCTGGGCCGCCCCCTACCCCCCCCTTTTCCTTCCACTACGACTGAAACGCTCTTCAAGTCTTTTGGGTTTTCGTCCATTCTCTCTCATGTCCGAACCCCCTTTCAAAAAACCCCTCTTAAAGGCCCTCGGGGGAAAACCCTTTTTGGGCAACCCCGCACCTCCTCCAAATTTCCCCAAATTTAAAAACCCTTGCATTATATTCACACCACACATTCCCCTCAGACATGCCCCACCCTCCAGCCTCCAGCCTTCTCCTGTTTGAAAACTTTAAATCACCCACGTTTCCCACACCCATATAAGGCTTTTGGTTTAAAAACTATACTCTAAATACCCCCCCTTTTTTCCCTCCAAGGACAAAGTTCTTTTTTCCCACAGACTCCTAAGTGCCCCTCACTTTTTTTTTCCCCATAAAATTCTATGATTCCCCTTTCTTTCATAAAACCCATCCGCTGACACTTCCACCCCCCAAAAATATCTGAATCCCTTCACCCCCCTTTCCATCTCTCTCCCTCCAATCTGATACCCAATTTTTTCATCCCCTAACCCTTTTTGTTATCCCCCAAACCTTACCCCTTTCCCTGAAATTCCCTTATTTTTTCTTTTGCACACCCCTAACCCCAAATTAAATCCCCCCCAAAACCCTCTGCAACTTTCTTCAGAATCTCCCAAGAGCCCCGTGTCCCCAGCAAAGAGCAGCTGTGCCCAAACCCCCATTTTGTGGTGATTCTTTATCTTTTAACCCCCACGCCTTTTCCCCCAAGGGCCCCTTGCATTTATTTCCCTTTTTACAACCCCATCTATAAATATATTAAAAAACCACGGTGAAAAATCACACATCCTTGTCTAAAGGCCCCTACTTTTCGGGGAAAAAAAATTTCCCTTTTTCCTACATCCCTTTTAAACTTGACCCTCACATCCTCGTAAAAACCCTTTCCCTGCTTTCAGTAACCTACCCCCTTTAAAACCATCCCCTTAAAAACATCTGCCACATTGCCCCCTACACCCCGTCATACGCCTTTTTCCCCCAAATCCATTAAATGCCACAAAGACCTCTTTACCTTTTTAAAATACTTTACTTATATGTTTCACTGTAAAACCTGGTCCCCACACCCCCTACCTGTAGGGGTTCTGATTACCCATATATTTGTAACAGGATCCCAAAATATGGAAGGAAAAAAAGGAAATTTTTCCTGTTTAAAAAACTCTTCCTTTAAAAATTATTTTAAAAAGCAATGAACAAAATTAACTTGTGGAATATCTGGAGGTGACGGGGTTTTTAAAGGTTTTTTAAAAACCTTGTACCCGGGCCTGGGGCCCCGGCTTTCTTTTTTCCCCGGTCAATTTGGGGCTGCTGCTGCGGGGCCCCCCCTACCCTCCCATAGGGCCCATTCCAGCCTGGCGGGTTCCCAAAAATTGGGGCAAGGTAATGTCAATTTTTCTCTAAAAAATTTCCCATTGTTCCAGCAAATTTCTAACCCCAATTTCTGCTGGAGGTGTAAAAATGGGTGAAGATTTGGGGTTTTAAAAAAATGAAAAACACCGTTCTCCAACTGTATCTGTGAAAACCCCTGTTTTTGAAATTTTTTTTAAAAACACTTTCTTTTCATCTTTTCCATCCCAGAAATTTTATGGCATTTGTGCAGTTTTGGGGGCCTACCCCTCCTAAAATACCCTTCCTTGTGCGTAAAAATTTTTAAAGTATCTCATTTTTGCTAAAAATTTCCCCCCAAACAGAACTTGCAGCAATTTTTTTTAAGTTGGAAAACAAAGTTCTACGGGGGAAAATATAAAAGCAAGGTCTTTCAAAGTAAAACTTAGAATAGTTTCTGAAAGGGGGTTTGGCACAACCCAACCCCCAAATAAGAAGGGGTTTGGGGTTTTTTGTACCAGCCTAATGTGGGTTTAGTAAATTTTTCAATGTAGAAAAAAACTCTATGGGGACTTTAAATTTCTTAATCCCAAGGGAAGTGAAAAAAGTTAAAAAGACCCGAAAAAAAACCAAATGATGCCCCCAAAAAGAAATTTGAATATCCCCCAGTGTAAAAGGACTTTGCACTCTCCCTTTGTTCTTTAAATGGCCCGAAATGGGGAAAACCCTTGGTCCCATTTCTAGCCGTCAAGCCTGGCAGTCAGTCTAAAACCAGACCCTAGTAGTTGGGGTTGGGTTACCCAACCATGGATCCCAACCCCCACATTTAAAAGAAGCAGTTTACGGTAGCTTGAAAACCAAATAAAAACCCTTTTTAAAAATACCCTGCCCCCTTTTAATTTTGAGGTATTCTTAATTTTTAAAACCTCGCGGGCCCCCATCCAGACTGGAAAATAAAATTACCCCTGGACAGTGGGGCCCCCAAAAAACAATGTTAAAAATGAAAACTCAGCCCAAAAATATAAAGGGGTTACGCCCGCATAAAACAGTGGCCGGGGACAAAAACCCAAAAACTGGGGTGTTTAAACCCGATTTAGCTTCAGTATAAACCAACAACTTGGAGCAAGAAAAATCAGGAAGTTAGCAAGATACTTTTAAAAGGAAAACCGGCCCAAACCCAAGATCAAAGGGCAGTTTTTGGTGTTTGAAGCACCCCCCAGCCACATACCTTACATCAAAAGGAAGATGAAAACTCGAGAGGGGGGGGCCCCCCTCACAGGTAAAGATCATGGATAATAGGTTTCCTCAAAGGCACAGACTCTTTTAAATTGAAATATTGTTAAAACAGAATTTTCAGAAAACCCCTGACCCCCCCTTTTCCCCATTGTTAATTTTTCCCCGACTGATGTCCTTCCCCCCTTTGGGCCCTGATGAATTAAAAAAATGAAGGGCTGAAATATAAGGGGCTTGGGGCCCTGATTAATGAAAAAAGGGAAAAGGGTTTGCTTTTGTGCCAAAACCCTTTGCAGTGTTTATTTTTGAGTAAAATTGGGCCCCAAATTTTTAATTCGTTAAATTTTTAGGGTTTTTTTGATGGGAAAATGATTTTTGTTTTTTTTTTTTTTTTTTTTTTCCAGTTGTAAAAAGGATCCTAGTAAAAACCGCTGTTTGGGTCCCTAAAATAGGTTTTTTAAAATTTTCCCCCGAAAATCACTTATGCACTTTTTGTACCCAGATCTTTAAATTCTGTCCCTTTTGAAATTTCCCAAAAAGGTTTCCATCATTTTTTTTTTTCTTTTGTATCATTACCCCCCCGGTGGAAGGGTGGCTTCCATCGGAGGGGGTGTGAAGAGAGGAAAAGGGGAGAGGAGAGAGAGAGGAGAGAGGGG